CCCCTGAGTGCCCCACAGCTGCACCTCTGAGTGTCCCACAGCTGCACCCCCAGTGCCCCACAGCTGCACCCCCAGTGCCCCACAGCAGCCCAGCCAGTGTTTGTTTGCTGGAGCTTTCACAATCCCTGTCCCAAGGTGTTTGTGGGGCTGTGCTGGTGCTGGCCTGAGCTGTGACCAAGGGCTGGGTGTCAGTGGGGATGTTTTTGTGACTGGTTTGAGGACAGTCACCAGGCAGTGACTGGCTCTGGGCCTCAGGCTGTGGCTGTCACCCCCAGGGTGACATGTGGGGGCACCTGAGCCCTGCCTGTGCCTGCAGGTGAGCTTGGCCAGAGCCAGGCAGTGGGGACAGGGGTCATCCCTGTGCCCCTGATTTTCTGGAAATCCCTTGGAAGTGCCATCTTGCCCCTCCTGGGCAGGAGCAGTGGTGCTCCAGCTGGGACCCCTGGGTGCTTTGTTAATTAAACAGCCCAAAGGCTGCCTGATTGAATCTGTGGGTTCTCAAGGCTGGGAGGAGCTCGGCAGGGGCAGGGTGTGGGAGCGGCACAGCACCGCACACCCCGGCTCTGCTGGGGAAAATCCTTGGCCTTGGGAGCCTGCCCTGGCCCTGGGCTCGTGCTCATGGGTGTGGGAGCTCTCAGTGTGCTCCTGGCCAGCGAGCCACACTGTTCCTCTGTCCCACAGGCCGAGGGGGTCAAAGCAGAACCCTTTGAAAACCATTCAGCCCTGGAGATCGCAGAACAGCTGACGCTGCTGGATCACCTGGTCTTCAAGAAGATCCCATATGAGTGAGTGATCCCCATGGGCCAGCAAAGCTGGCTCTGGTCCCCAGGGCCCCACAGCCTGCCTGGGCTGACCCAGACAGTGCAAAGCCTTCCTGGGCTTTGCCAGACTTGGCTCAAGTGCAGATTTGAGTCCTGATCCAGTCCAGTGGCTTCTCTGCTGGCGTCCCCAAGGTAATCGGCTCAGGGGGACCCTCCCACAACCATCACACTTTCAAACACATCCATGTGGGGCCTTTCCAGCAGTGTGGGGGCAAAGACCCCGGCATCTCCATCCTGGAGCTTGCAGGGCTTGGACATCCCGTAAAATCGGGAAATAAAAGTTGACCTGACCACTGTGGTTTGCAGAGAATTCTTCGGGCAAGGCTGGATGAAGCTGGAGAAGAATGAGAGGACTCCATACATCATGAAGAACACAAAGCACTTCAATGATGTAGGTGCAGCTGCAGGGCACAGGGGGTGGGCACAGGGGAGGCAGCTCAGCCCCCCTGCCCCAGGGCTGGGGTGTGTGAGGGTCACCTGTCCTCACCTGCCTCGGGGAACCGGTGCAGGTGGAGCATCTCCTGCTGCAGCCGCTCCTCCTGGGGAGCACAGGGAAATCCAAAACCTGCCCTGAGGCTGGAGCACACGGAGCTGGGCCCAAACTCACGCTAAAGCTCGGGCTGGGTGCCGTGTCTCCCCAAGGTCAGCAACCTGATTGCCTCGGAGATCATCCGGAACGAGGAGATCAACGCGCGCGTCAGCGCCATCGAGAAGTGGGTGGCGGTGGCCGACATCTGCCGCTGCCTGCACAACTACAACGCCGTGCTGGAGATCACCTCCTCCCTCAACCGCAGTGCCATCTTCCGCCTCAAGAAGACCTGGCTCAAGGTCTCCAAGCAGGTAGGGGTGGTCCCTGCTGGGGAGGCAGGCTTGGGGGGGATGAGACGCATTGGAAGAGTCAGAAAAGGGAGAAAGGGCTTTCAGGCTGTTCTCAGGAGGGAGGTGGTGTGTGGACGGGCAGACCCTGCCTTGCAGTTTGGTTTATCAGTGGAATCACAGGAATGTTTGGGTTAGAAAAGCTCTCTGAGACGGGGCAAGTCCAGCTGTTCCCTCAGCACTGCCAAGGCCACCACTCACCCGTGTCCCCAAGTGTCACACCCACACATCTGTTAAAGCCCTGCATTGACTCCACCACTGCCCCGGGCAGCAGTGCCAGGGCTGGACAGACACTAAGAAATGTCCCCAGTATCCGATCTAAACCAAGTGACCCTGAGGCTCTGCAGGCTGCAGCCCTGGCTGCAGGGGTGGGGGCTCTTCCAGGGCCCTGCTGAGCAGCATTTTGGTTTCTTGCAGACGAAGGCTCTGGTTGATAAGCTCCAGAAGCTGGTGTCGTCGGAAGGCAGGTTCAAGAACCTGAGGGAGGCACTGAAAAAGTGAGTGGATGGTGCTTCTCCTCCTCTCCCACGGCTGCTCCTGGCCCTGTGCTGTGGGGGGAGCTGAGCTCTGCTCCCAGCATCACCCGGAGCCTGCCCTGAAGGGTCCTGTCCTGTCGAGCCAGCACCGTGGCTGGCAAAGTGATCCCCAGGACTGAGCTGCTCCTTTGTGCAGGGAATAAAAGGGACTGCAGAGGGAAAAACCACTGCCAGACACTGGAGAATAATTTTCCCCTTCACTATCACAGAATCATCAAATCCCAGAATGGTTTAGGTTGGAAGGGTCCTTAATGCTCATCTTGTTCCATACCTCTCCGTGGGCAGGGCCCCCTTCCAATTGACCAGGTTGCCCATGGAAGCTTCTGAAGGTCTTCCTGACCCTCAAAGCCGCCCTCAGCTCATCTCCTGCATGCTGTGGCTTTGGGAGGGGCACAGCCACAGGTCCTGCTTGTCCTGCTGCGCTGGTGGGGATGAGAGACCTCCTCTTCCCTGGGAGAGCCTTCCTGTACTGGAGAGAATCCTTCCAATTCTGCTGACTGCAGAGCTGTCCCCTTCTCCCCTACCCCGCCCCAAGCTCCAAAGGGGGAAAGCGTCATTCCTCGTTTCTCTCTGGTTTGTTCCCAAGTTGTGACCCTCCGTGTGTGCCCTACCTGGGCATGTACCTGACTGACCTGGCGTTCATCGAGGAGGGCACCCCGAACTACACTGAGGATGGCCTGGTGAACTTCTCCAAAATGAGGATGGTGAGTGCTCCAGCCCAGTGGCGTGGGCACAGGGGGCTGGGCTGGCGTGGTGTGGCTGTGGCCAGGTCTGTGTCCCCTCAGCCTTCACCTGCACAGCACCAGGAGGCCACATGTGTCCCCTGCACACACCTGGGGCTGTTCCTAATGTCTAGAAGGGACAAAGAGGCCTCTGCATTGTGCTGTGCTGGGTGCCCCTGCCCTCCTGGGCGCTGGGATGGGTTCTCTGGGTGATGGCTGAGCCACGGGAACCTTGTGTGTTTTATCCCTGCACAGATCTCACACATCATAAGGGAGATCCGCCAGTTCCAGCAAACCTCCTACAAGATCGAGCACCAGCCGAAGGTACAGCCCTGTCCCCAGAGCCACGGGCGTGCTGTGCTCCTCATCTCCCTCTTCCATCACAGCATCTAAGCCTTCAACACCTGGCAGCTCCACGCTGGAGCTGTTGGGAAGAGGGCAGGGGAGGGAGGGGGGCTGTGGGGGCTCCAGCAGACTCCCCCCGTGGCCCCCAGGCCTCTCCAAGCAGAGGATTTGCTGCAGAGGGCAGCTTTGGTGGACAGGCTCGGAGTGCTCCCAGGGCTGCACCCTGGACCCTGGAGCAGCTCTTTAGGGGCAGCACCCCTCCCCAGGGAGCAGAGTGTGTCCTGCTGTCCCCACTGCCAGCTCCAGCCGGCCTCTGCCCCACGGTGGCCCCAGCATGAGCTGAAAGGTCTCGGCAGCCGTCAGCACCTCACTTCCCAGGGTGTGGGTGCCCCGGCTCTCGGGCTCCGTGCTCTCCCAGCCCGCTGACGGCCGCGCTCGTTCCCAGGTGACGCAGTACCTGCTGGACCAGTCGTGTGTGATGGACGAGGAAACCCTTTACGAAGCTTCTCTGCGGATAGAGCCCAAGCTGCCTTCCTGAGCGCGGCGGCGGCCGCCCTGTACACTCGCTATAGCAAACTGTACATAGCCAGTTCCATGGACGCCCTGGAGTGACTCCCAGTCTGTGCTTCTCCCAGCAAACCCCCGCCCCAGGCCGCGCTCGACCTCGCGTAGGATTCCCCGCCCCGGTTAAGGTTTAACGCACCGACACTTGGCTGGAGCCCCGGGTTCTTTTGGATGATGTTACTTTTGTCATTTGTTCCTCCTGGGGGGCTGGTGGCCGGGCAGGTGAGTCCCCGTGTCCCCGTGGGCCAGGTGAGCCCTGTGTCCCCACGGGGCTCTGGGGCGGCACAGAGCAGCTCTCACTCGGACAGCGCTGACATGGCACGGCAAGCTCTGTAAGGTGGGAGAAGGGAACGCATTAAAGGCTGTTCCTCGGTGTGAGCTGCTCTCTCTGTGTGTGCCACCCTCGTGCTGGCCGGGCACGGGGGGCCCTGGCTGCTGCCCCGGTCCCTCCGAAGTTGGGAAGATGGAAGCATCCCCTTGCCTCTCCTCGCTGCATCCGGCTCCTGTTGATATGCTGTAGATCCGTACCCTTGTGCCCACTCTGAGTACCATGATGTAGAGTTAGAGATGACGAGTGTTTTTATTACATCTACTGTAATCCTGGCTAACCACCCGCTAGCAGGATATAGTAATGTAGTGCTTATTCTGTGAATAGTACCTGGGTTTTTTACATTGTACAGTCCCTGACACGGTTCCCCGGCAGTGGCAGGCATGCTCCACTCACACAACACTTGCTGTAAGCAATACCTCGTGGTATGGGAATTCTCTTTCAAGCCCTAAAACTATTTCAACTTACAGCTTGTTTGGGAAAAAAAAAAATATTTCCATTCTTTTTGTAAAAATATATGTTTCCTGATTACCTCTTGCTAATAAATCTATTCTATCTCAGGGTGAACCGGGGTTTGTGATAGTTTTACGGGCGGGATAACGCCGGACCCGCCGGGCCGCGGGCCCCGCCCGGTGCCGGTGCCCCGCCCAGTGGCGAGGCCACGCCCATTACCGGGACCACGCCCATTACCGGGACCACGCCCAACCCACGGCCCCGCCCTGTTCCCGGGCCCCGCCCCCCGCCCGCCCCGCCCATTGCCCCGCCCCCTGGCAGCGGCTCGGCCCATTTCGACTCCGTTCGGCCGCGTTCGGCTCGGCTCGGCCCGGTTCGGCTCCGCTCGGTCCCGGTTTGGTTCGGCACGGCCCGGCCATGCTCTGGCCCGTGCTGCTGCTGGCCCCGCTCCTGGGCCCCGCCGCCGCCTGGGCTCCCTCGGCCGAAGGTACAGGGGCACCGGGAGGGCAGGAGGCGACTTGGCACGGCCCGGCCCGGCCCGGCTCGGTGCCGCTCGGTTCGGGCCCGGCCCGGCTCCCCGGTGCAGAGCCGCGCCGGTGCCCCCCTGACGCCGCCGTTCTCTCCCGCAGAGGAGCGGCTGTTCAAGGCCTGGATGCTGCAGGTGCGGCCCGGGGCAGGGAGAGGGGCCCGGGCCGGGGTCCCCGGGAGCTCGGGGTGTCCCGGGAGCTCGGGGTGTCCCGGGGGCCCGGGGGG